TATATATATATATATATATGAAAAAAATCCAAAGGCTAATATATTAAAGTGAAAAAGATACCGAAATATTATATGAGAGGGCTTAAAAGAAGGCCCAACTCATAAAATACAACACACACAAAATGTCAAATAAATCAAAAATACATAAAGATAAAAAACCAAAAAATCCACCAACGGGCGCAAAAGTGCTAGGAACGTCTCACTTTAGTCCTCCCGCTGTCTCTAGTTCTCGAAAGTGAGCCGGCTAACAAATTGGTAAGATGAGTATACACACATCTATATGTACGATGAACAAAGATTTAAATTGGGCGAATCCTAATTTGGAGTAAGATGGGCTGAATCAGTTTCAAAAAAAAAAAGAATAACATGTATATGTGCACGTTCCAATGTTATATTAAAAATTTAAGTACATGCATGGTCACAATAGCAGCTTGCAAGCACAAATGCAGTCTTGTGAAAATGAATTTTCGGCTTTTTTTATCACTTATATTGTCAATATGCATGCATTCATATAAGTTACAACTTTCTCAAGGTTTTCCCACTATTTTTATTGTAATATCCAGATTGAATTCAACGTCAAAAAGTAACTTGATTTACAAAAATTATTCACATGAGCTTTTTTTAAAAAAGAAAACTTTAAAACTTTAAAAAATCAACTTAGCCGATCATTAGCAAGCTCCAAAATGAAGCAACTGAAGAATTTTCAAAGTCGAGTTAAAGCATCCATGAGCATATTTCAAGGTTTCATCTGAGAGATCAAAGCAATATTAAGCCAAGCTTGTCACAATACACAATCTTGCTCAGCTCTGATCATGTTACAAAATTTTCAGCACATATAGTGTAGCTAATTTTCTCTTTTTATGCGGTCAAAAGTTTGGCGCATTGGTTGGAAAAGAATTTAAAATCATGCGACCTACGTTCAAGGCCTCACCAAGCTCAAGAAAAGTCAGCAGCATAGGCTAAATGAGACAAGAATCTAATATAAATAAAATAGTTACATTCATATTTTGCTAAAATTTCAAAAACAAAGGCCTTAAAATGTCCCAATAATTTAAATTTATTTATTTTTTCCAACACAGTACTCGTGTCAATTTTTCATGAAGAGCTGTGTTCACTGCTCAAAGCAAGAGAGAAATAACTTGAAGCGACCTACGACAAATTTAATTTTACTCCTTCAATATTCCAGCTCCAATAAATTTTGAGCTCGATTTGATTTGAATGCAAAATTATGAAGAACATGACAATATGGGTTCTTTAAAGTTTAACCCTCAACATTATGATGCAACATAAGTATGAATTGGTGACACTTAAAATGGTAAAATAATTGTTCTTATAATCGACAAGGTTCCTATAGAAAAACCCATAAAAGTAAGGTCCTATTTGGCACAGCTGTTTTACCGCGGCGCGGTCAGAAAACGTCACGCCTTGCGTTTGGTTTTGACAGCGTGGCAGATTTTATGAAAAATTTTAACAAAACGCGGTCGCGGACTTGACCACACCGCCTGCATTCGTTCGTAAAGTGTTGACGCAGCTGTCCCTCCTCTCCCGCGATCATTTCTCCCGTGTGTCTTGCCCTAGCTGCCCCTTCTCTCCAGCGATCCTCTCTCTCGTGTCTTACCCTAGCGGGCCTCTCCTCTTCTCTCTCTCTCTCTTGTGATTCTCACAGTTAATGTTGTGCCTCTCTCAGTGAGTTCTCTTATCCCTCTCCTCTATCCCTTCTACAACTCTGTTTGGGTCTTTTGATCTGTGTGAGGTGTTGCTTCTTCGTGTGATGCTCTACGCCATAGTTCCTCTGTGCGGTGGTTCTTTTGTACTGCGGTTCTTCTGCGCAGTGGTTCCACTTCGTGTTGGGTAATCCCGACCTTAGCTGTGTCATTTTCTTTGATTTTGGAAATGTGTATATATCCAATATGTTCATGTTTCCTCTTTGCGGTGGTTCTTCTTCGTGTTAGGTAATCATTGTGTGGTGGTTTCTTTGCCCTAACTGTGTGGCTTTTGGTTTGGTGTCTTTGTGACAACAATGGGTTCCTCTGTGTGGTGATTCCTCTTGGTGTTTGTGTGATTCTCTATGCTCGAGAATTTTGTGATTTTTTTATTTGGCTAATGCTTATGCTTCATTGCTTCTCAATTGAAATTGGATTTTGGGATCTTTGGAGATCTCACGTGTAATGGCTTGAATTTTTAGGATTTTCGAATTGGCAAATGCTTATGCTTCATCGGTTCTCAATTGAAGTTGGATATTGTGATTTTTTGGGATCACACGTGTGATGGCATGGATTTTAAAGATTTTCGATTTGGCAAATGCTTATGCTTACTTCTTTATGTTCTTGAATTATGGTGTAACACGTGTTGGTTTTGAATGCACGTGTAATGGTGGATTATGGTTTTCCTTTTGCTTGGTCAATGTACATTTGGTTGAAGTTAGCTTATGGTGTTGATGTGGTGGATGTGGGGGTGAATGTGTTTGTGTTGAAGGATGAGGAGGTAGTGGTGAAGGGTGGTTGGTGCATGGACGTGGACTTGGAAGTAGTGGTGTAGAAGTAGTGGTGTAGGGTGATTGGTGTGTGGAATGTGTATGTGCTGGTGAATTGTGTGTGGGTGAGGTGGTGGTGGTTGGTTTGTGGTTGTGGATGTGTTGGTGATGGCGGATGTGTTGGTGTTGTGGTTAAGGAGGTGTTGGTGTGGTTTGTTCATGTTAGTGAATGTGTAGAGGAGGTGATGGTAAGGTGTTGGTGTGTTTGTATGTGGTTATGGAGGTGTTGGTGTGGTTGTGCAGAGGAGTTACCTGTGTGGGTGTGTTTGTGTTAGTGGATGTGTTCAAGTGTGTCGAGGTTTTGGTATGTGAATGTAAAACTGTTGTGGATGTGTTGTGTGAACAGAGGCGGTTGTATTGTTGTGTGTGTGGAGGTGGTGGACAATCTTTGTCACGGGCCAAAAATGATGTTCTCGAGACCCGCACTCGAGATGGGGAAGGTGAAAGCAAGATGGCAGAGCTGATGAAACAAATTACAGATGCGATAGTTGGAAGATGATTGGAATGAATGTTAGTTTTTATTTATGTTAATTGTAATAGTTGTTGAAGACATTCACTGATTATTATATCAGTATTTTATAGAGTTCACATATTTTTCTTTTTTATGCATTTGATATTTACTGTATTGATTTTTTTATGCAAGTTGTATGTATTTTTTTTTTCTTTTGCATTTTTTTTCTTTCGGTGGATTTTGGAGGTCTATGATAAAACGTTTGACTTTATGAGTTCTTCTGGATAGTCTGTATGTCACTATCGATTGGTGTCACATGTGAAATCCTAATGAAATCAACTAAGTTCCTCATTTTTTTCGATGTTATGGTTTTTGAGATTCTTCTGAATGATATTTTTTTGTAATATGCATATATGACATACATGACATACATGACATGACATACATGAGCTTCGTATTAAGTGGGTTAAAGACAACCAAGAACTCTTTTTTATAAGGGTTATTATCTTCTTGTAGTGATAAATTCATTGATTTATATACTGAGTTTTCTGAGACCTCGTAGCTACATACAACTTTAATTAATTAATTTTGCTATTAATTTTTACTAGCGCTATCTAAGGATATTTTTGTTTAAACCTTCAGGAAAAATGAGCTCGAGAATTTCCGGTACCTCCAGAGGATTGCACTGTTGTTGTGGACTTCAATGTTCCATGCTCACTTCAAGTCAGTCACATAGCTATGGAAGACAGTTTTACAGGTGCTCACAGAGAATCAAAGAAAATTATAACTATTTATTATGGGTAGATGGACTGAAAGATTCCCCTGCCGAGAGTGATCGGGGATGAGAATATTCCTGGGGGGCGGCTTAACTCGTGACATACGTCATTTGTATTTTAAAAATAATACTATCAGATTATTAATTGTTATTTTAATAATCATTTTCTTAATTTTGGTAGTCATGTTACTCATTGTTTAGTGAGATGTCTATTTTTTTTTTTTGTAATATTCTATATTGGATATTTGCTTTTAAAGTATAGAATGTACTGGTATGAGCATTTCTGTTGTAAACAGCATTACTATACAGGGGCATAATGATTATTTTTCCAAAAATAGTTGCAACACAGTTATTTTCAAACTGAAAAAAACAAACAGACAATCAGTTTATCCGCAGCAGCTTCCTATGACAGCTGTTGCGTAGCAGCTTGTTATTAAGTTGTAGCTGCCTCAAACTGACAATAAACAAAAATGCACTTTGCTAGTATTTTCAACATGTGTGTCACGCAGCATTCAATCTAATATAGATGAGCAACAACCAAGAATATTAACTTTAATAAAAGCCTTGCGAAATAAAGTTTCAAAATGTCACAGGTAATGCTTCAATGATCATAGCCAACAAAACGATAAGAAAAAGGGAAATTTACATATGTAGAACGCAACTCTCATGTATTTACATATCTCACACCTAAACTATCATATTTAAATATATAGCACTTTGGTAGTTTAAACCTATGCATGTGTATTTTACTTTTAAGCGGTAATAGTGCTATTTTTTATTTGATATTAAAGATTTGAATGCTACATGTGTAAATATGAAAGGTCAGGTGTGAGATATATAAATACATTAAAATTGTGTGCTATATATGTAAATGTCCCAACCAAAAGAAAATTAAAAAGATTAAAAAGACAGCCTTTGGACAAGTTTAAACATTTAAAAGAGCAGAGTACAGGTTACAAAAAGAAATATGTATTTGTGTCGGTGCAAAAAAAAAACATAAACAAAGTGAAAAAACAAACCGTAGAGCAAACCTGGTCTAGCAAATTTATCGAAGTGCCATCTACTCTTTCTTCAATACTTATGTTGGATGAATCCATCATGGGTTCATCATCTATGGACACTACAGAAATAGCATTTAGATTTTGCATACCAACAGAACTATGAGATATGATTCCTGAAGGCTGGCCTGCAAAAACAACAGATAAGCCAGATCTCAAAAGGCATTCTCTCGCGGCTTCTTGCCCTTCTTGAGTCAGCATGAACCTGAATAGAGATAAAAAAATTTAGGGGCATCTACATACCACCCAAATGATGTGTATTTACATATCTAACACCTCAATTTTACTTTTTATATTTCTACCACACAAATCTTTCGTAGCACATCAAAAATACCACCATTTTAACTTTTAAAAAGTGAAATAGACCTTTTTATGAATAGAAAAGGTGGCATGTAAGTAAATGATTAAAGTTTAAGAGTTGGATATGTAAATACATAGAAATTAAGAGGTAAATAAATATATGTAAACTTTCGAACTTTTAATGAGATCACTAGTGTACATGTTGTGAAAAACAGCATGAGCTTATTTTTGAAAAAGTATATAACACAATTGCTCGGAAGGAAAACATCATAAATAATTATAAAAATTTGACAAAGAAAAATTGCATACTTAAGCATAATCATAGTTGTTTCAATTAATGTCATTTCCATAAAGTTTGCCTAAACCAAAATGCAACCAATTCCCTGGCAATAATAACAAGTGAATTTGGGCAAGAAATGCCTATATTTTTCTTCCATTATTAAGTATAGATTTTTTTTTTTCACTTTTCATTTTCAGCCATATTTTGATCTAGAAGAAGTAGCAGAATTGTTGTCACCTACTATGGTCCACTACACCAACAAAGCTCAGCAATTTCCCCAACTAACTTCACATGGAAAGTACAAAGAGCATAATAAAGCAGTCATGTTTTTGAATCTCACTCCTATTTTAATTTATAGTGGTTTACTTGCAATGAGCTTTTCCGTGTTCAATATTAAATAAATTTGAGGGGTAACTTTCTTTTAATTTTTAGTCATTTAATTCGTATAATTCCAATATCAAGAGTGTATTTACCTAATTTCCTGCAAATTTCAAACAAAATTAACATTTTGTACTAGGATCAAAATGAATGACAATGTTGACCAAATTATTTAGAGATTAAAAAACAATTGAAAAAAACCATAAAAATACATAGGATGAAGAGTAATGAACTTTCAAACTATCCAGAAGAAAAATGTTATACTAATACTTGGTGAAAAATCAAATGCAATCAAGAAGAAACAAAAAAAGCTCCAAAAGTTCTGATTGAATATAGAATTTAAACTTTAGAATTTAGAATTTTGGATCCACAAGAATGACATGCATAAAAAGATAAGTTGGTTGGGTCTTTAGCCATGATAGATTATCAAAGATGCTTGATTTAGTATAATGAGTCGAAGTTTTCATAGGACCCATAATGAAATACCAATTTACTGAAGATGGAAGCTTCATTGGCCAGTCCCTTCCCAAAAAATGCAGTTAGCAAAAATATTATTTATGCCTAAAATACAAATTACTTCTTCTAAGTATGAAATCCATGCCCACAAAGGCAACAATTATCAAGCATGGTGTGTGTTCTGCTATTTCTAGCATGAAAATGCAAGTCTCCTGGAAGGTAGTACTATATTGGCTAGCTCTTGGCACTCATACTGCAGGAAATCATTTTACAGAATATGATACAAGAGATTGGCAAGATGGTTACAGAAATTACATTTTACTTTACTCAAACTTCCAATAAGGTGAATCAAGGCAAAGGGGATATGAGTCATCTTCAAAAGAAAACATCTTAAAAGAACCAACAGAAATTCAGACTAATGAAAGTGTAAAAATAAGTACATAATTAAAACAGCACACATAAAACTGTACTAGTGTTATGGCTTAGCATTGAAGTTATCAGCTAGCAAAACATGAGAAAGGAAGCATACTTAGCCGGGCAGCTAGACTTTGCAACCAATCCCTTTGATGTCAATGTCTTCATGCAACTCCATCCAGTATACCAGTCCCTGGGTGAGCACCCAAATTGCCCAGGTTTCCCTTTTACTTTATCAGGCCTTCAATAGAAGCTGAAATCAGCAAGCATCTTTATCATGCAAAAACGCACCAGAGATAGATGAGCCACTAACCTTATTGAATTCCGTGAGAGTCCACTTGCTTCAGCAGCGTCAATTAGCTCTTGCTTCTTCATAAATTTAACACCATCCACAACTCCCCTGAACATCATCAGGATATGCTTGTTAAGATAAAACTATAAGCAGCTGCCCAGATAGAAAAGCAAATAAACTCTCACATACCTGTAAAGTGTAATTAATAATGCATATGCCGCGGAATTCTTCTGTGGAACATATCGCTTAGGTCCTTTTGGTTTCTTCCCTGAGGAAAGCTTCAAGCTTCAATTAGCGTAATTGATGAAACACACGATTTATCTTATTAAAATATTGAACAGGGAACCTCAACAGCAAGGAGAAGAACCGAAACCAGAACCAATTTACCGATTTGGGGGCCATTTTTTATCGGAGAAGCACCCGCGGGCGTATCATTGGGAAAAAAGCCATTCATTAGCCTTATAATCCACTTTCCTACGCCCCTGCCATGAGTCGGCAATTCAGAATATTTGCCTTGAACGAAAAATTAGGGTTTTAACAAGGATTTACAAATAATATGCCTCCTACTTAATCTGAGAAAGATCTTTGAGGGACTTGATAGGAGTCTTCGAGCTGCAGATGCTGCGGTAGGCTTTAATAAGCGTCATTTCGAGATTGTCCGATATCCCACCGCTCTCTGCCATCTCCTTCCTCTTCGTCCAGAGATGCAGAGCAACGTTCTCGTTCTCGCTGCATCTGACGGGTAACTTGTTCTCCATTGGACCTTGTTAAGCCAAGGAACCAGGATTTAGCATAATGCCATAATTTGATCCTGTAAGGAGGCAAAAGGTTAACGGTGACGTCTGGTTTTTAGGGCTCTATGGGATGCCCGCCATTTCTCCCCCAACACCTGGTTCAAAACTTCAAATATTGAACCTAAAGTGACACTTTCACCTTACATGTATAACATGTATAGGAAAAATTATTACTTCCGCACATCCGTGCCAACGGATCCAGCGGCTAATCATCGACCGTTATATTGTCTATTAGTTAATGAGATATATGACGATATGACTTCAAATAATTGGTCGTCCGGACATATAATATTTGGCTACTGTTGTATTTAACTTGGATTTACTAAATTCAATAAATTTGAATTTAAGAAATATTTTTCAATGTAAATTCATCTTAAGTGGGCTTCTAATTTTTTTATTTTTTTATTTTTTTTTTGCATTGATTGATGCAAAAGAACTTTTCATTTTAACCAAAATCTTATATTATTTGTTCTGAGTGAGCATTATCTTATTTTAATCCAGTTATAAATTATTTTTGGGGTCATTCACATACCATCACCCAATTCTTATGTATTTTCATCTCGAACCCCTAAACATTATATTTTGCATTTATGCCGCCCAAATCTTCCATATCATATCAAAATTATCCCAATTTTAAAATTTAAAACATGAAATACACCTTTTCGTGCATAGATAAGTTATTATATACATATGTAAAAATTGAAGCTTAGTGTTATATGTATGTAAATACATGGTAATTGAATAGCATTTATGTTAGGGTCCGTTTGGGTAAATTGTGTTTTGACAATTTATGTGTTTTCAAAACGTTGGAAACAGCGTTTTCACACTGCACCTATCTAGGTTAGGTGCGGTGGCAGCTTTCTGGTTGCGATCTTGTTTTTCCAAATATATAAAAATGTGTAATAGTCACCTCACCTAGCTTATCAGCATATTATTTTTAATCAGCTTACCAGCAGATTATTCAATAAGCTACAGCTTCCCCAAAGAGACCTTTAATCTTCCGTTTTTTTCTTCATAAAAAACTTTAAGATATGTTCTAATCACTTTAATGTAAATCCTTGAATAAAAAAAAATATCATTATTCATTAAGTTATTAATGTACATTATTGATTATTATTAATAGTTAAATTAATTTAAAACCGGCTTTCAGCCATCAAATACTTATTTATTTGTATACTTAACACCTAAATTTTTATATTTACTTATTAAATGCTTTATCTTTAACTCACACCAAATTCAATGGTATTAACTCATCTTAAATAAAATATATAATTTAATGCATATATTTTAATGTGCCAAAAATGCTATAAAACAATATATAAAAATTAATAGAAGAATTTCATATACCCCAAATCAAGTAAAACAGGGAAATATTCCAATAACACCGCAAAATAATTGAATAATATCATATAATACTCGAATAACACATCATTTTTACAAATAACGCAAATGGAATATTCCCGTAACACAGTCGAATATTCAAATCCGAATTTAGCTCTACGTTAGAAGATCTGATGTAATATTTTTCCATTGTCAAACCCTTACAGTTTAGAATCGAATTTTTCAAATTTGAAGAGATTAATATTTGATTCCACTCAATTCAATGGAAAGAAAATATGATTTATATCGCAAATAAAAATTTTTCAATTTTTACATATATGTCACCTTATCTATGAATGAAAAGTTGTATTCCACTATTTAAACATTAAAATTGTGCAAATTTTTTATAAGATATTAATGATTTGAGTGACATATAAATTAGATTATCAAAGTTATATATTTGAATTAGGCATGAAATAGTTATATACATTGATAGCAATGGGTATGCAAGTTCTTCTTAATCAACAATAGCACAAGATAACAATGGGTTATGCAACTTTTACATAAAGATATGATTCAATGCTCACTATATTCATATTTTAAATAGAATTTAGAAGATGGTTAAGTGCCAGATGCAAGTGATTTTTTGAGCAAGCTCCAAGGCACTTTTTTTTATGGTAGCTACTTGGTTGTGATTGGAAGATTTTTTTTTTTTTTTTAAAACTTACTGTTTAGCAAATGGGACCATGGTAGTTATTTAAATTTTTTTATAGTTTTATTTATGATATATTTGTTGATTATTTATTAACTTAAATGTTGTAAATTTTTATAGAAGCAATGATTAGCCAATCTCGAAGCAAACTTAATAGTTTTGCAAGTGAGTCGATGTAGCAATAGCTCCTACTGAGTGTATAGGTGGAATTACATCAAATGAAGATACGAAAGATAAAAGACAAAGATCAGATGTATGTAGTTGTTTTACTAAAACACCAGTAGAAAATATGTATATAGATAGAAATGGAAATGCAATTATTGTGTAAAGTCTTATGTGAAACAAGAGACTAACACCACCTCTCAAATGAGCAAACATTTTAGGGCAAATAACTATAGTAAAACTGAAGATAGAGATAAGAAAAAAGTAAGAACTTTTTAGCTTAAACTGATTCTATTTCTGATTTATGTGTTTCATCTACATATGACATAGTAAAATAGAAAATATTGTAGTTAAGATGATTATTGTGGATGAATATCTGTTCATGACTGTCGAACATTTATGATTTAACATTTTGATTAAATCAATAAACTATCATAAAATTTTAAGGTTTGTTATCAAGAAGGGTGAAAAGTGTATGAATTCGAGAAAGATAAACCAAAAAAGCATTTGAAATTAGTTGGGAGAGTTTCACTCACTAGCGATTGTTAGACATCAAGTTAAACAGTTGCTTATATATGAATTAATGAGCAATATATTAGTTTTGATTGTAAACCACATTTAAGGACAATTAGCTTTAAAGATTTAGTTCCTCCTTATATCGGGGTTGTGATATCTGCAGCAATTCCTGAAAGTTTTTTGCAATGTGATTTATAATATAAAGTTAGCACCATTACCGTAGATAATACATCATCCAATGATGCGACTGCTACAAATTTGAAATGATTGTTTACTATAATATTTGGTTTTCTTATTATGGGAGATTTTTTTCATGTTTGTTATGTAGATCATATTTTCAACTTGATGGTTCAAGATGATTTAAAGAAAATGGTAAGGTAATTGAAAAGCTTAGAGAGTCCAATCTCACTTAGGTTTGATTAGAAATAAGGTATAGGCATGACTTCTAATGTTGGGCGGGTGTAATCATGTGTCGGCGACCAAGATTTTCTTGCCCGAGTCTCGTACATTAATTATAAATCTCATTGATATATAGAATTAGAACCAAACATGCCCTTATGTGGTGCCTGACAGTCTTTTTTTTCTCTATGGTATGTCACTGACCTAGCGACATCGACCTTTTATTATTTTATATTTAGCTTATTTTACTATCGTTCTTGCGTGCTTGTATGCTTGGATTAACTTTACCCTTTTTTGGATTGTGTTTTAGTTTGGGAATTCAGTGTTGTCACTTAGGCTCTTTAAGACAAAATATTTATAAAGTTTTTCTACAAAATTCTAATAAAAATTCAAGATAAATTAAGTTTAGGACAAAAATTCATGACTTTTAAATATGCACTATTATTTTCCTACATAGCCTTCAGGTCAGATTTTAAATTGATTGTGTGGCATTACTTTCACCCAAGTCATACTAATAAGGCCTTCACAGTAGGACTTGAATAAATAATTGCATAATATTGCATGTCCTGAGGAGAAGCCTCGGTGCTTCTCCAACATGACTGACCCAACATAGATTTCTACTCAGATGGTTGTCAAGTGCGCATAAGTCGTTAAAAGGCTTCTTGATCTAGATGGTCTGTAAGTCCTTTGGCGGGAGTGTTTCCAGCTTTGTAGTTGAACCTTTCTTTCCCCTCTTTTGCAATGGAATCCTTATCACTTTGGCGGGTATATGTCTCACCACTTTGAGCTCCACCCAATAGTCATATGATAAAATTTTGTTCCTTTGACTGATGTTCCCACGGACGAAACAATTCACAGATTGCAGACCGAGGCTCTCTGGACTTGTTGGGTTGACTACTTTCATAATCAGGTGGATCTAAGGTCCTTATGACTTGAGATGACGTGTCCATGGTACTCTGACATGGCTACCTCTATCTATTAGAGATTACTCATCTCTTCCTTTGACTACCCACTTTGAGCCTTGTCTCTCCTCCTACTATCATTGATATCATCATCTTGATGGCCCGAGTATCGATAAACTGTGACCCGTTTGGGATATGACAATTTTTCTTTTGATCTTATAGCCTAGAAGAGTTTTGACATATCAGAATATCCCGTGAGGATGATATGGTTATTTGTTAGGCTCTATGTGTCAATGAGTCCATTTTCCATACAGGACCGTGAGATACTCGATCTCCGCTTTATGACTTAGCGAGAGCTTTAAAACCATTAGAGCATTTCCTTATGAAATAACTGTCCTTTGATATCCCAATGCTAGTTGTCACTTTAAATGTAAGCAGAATTCACCAAATCAAGAGTATTAATGAGCAACCTCTAAGATAAAATTAACTCAGTGGATATGTCCCATTGGAAGCACTTTGGACCCCAAAACAAGCAAACACACATGAATCTCTGGTTGTAGGTAGCTTTTGTAGGCATTCTTTCATGGATATTGGACACAAGCTATTTCGGTTCGATCTTGTTCGGGCGTGTATGCTTGGCATATCGTTGCGAGGTTTGTCGCAAAGAAGTTCTACACATTATTTCTCTTGTTTGTTCGCCTTCGTTGTATGTTCAGCTTTTTTGGTTCATTCTTCTCTCGATCATTCATATGATCTGTGAGAGAGACTTATTTAGAAAAAGGAAGTATACGATGATAGACAAGCTAACAACTTCTTTAAACAAAATATAAAAAAAAGAAAGAAATGAAAACATATGGATTTTTTTTCTCTTATTACTATATTATCATATTACTAGTGATGAATGCCACTTTTTTTTCATTTTTATTTTATCATGAACAACTATATTGTCCGGATATTGAGTATTAGGATGATTTTTTTTGCTCCATTGCTATCGTATTTTTGTATCTTCGATAATGATTGAGTGCTACACTTGGTTCTCATTTAGTGATATGGTTGGATGTTTTGTGCATTCAATTGCATTTTTTTGTGGTGTAATA